TTTTAAGGTATATGCTTAAAGGAATAAACTAACCATTCGGTCAGTACTCACTCATCCTGAGACATTGGAATGGTGAACAGATTTGTCGATGAACGGCAAACCCGACTTCGTGATCGAAGAGCGCCAAGCACTCATCGAGGCCCCAGCGCCTAGGCAGAATAAACCCCTTTCGTGAACTGCTTTTCCCCCCTAGTGGCGATTTTTAATAGTCTTCAAGTTCGTAACTGAGATATCTTGAGATATCCTGTCGAAACGCTATAAAGACCCTCGCTTCTGGCCTCAGCTCCGCATCCGAGCTTTTGGTTGCGACTCCGACGAAGTCCCCCTTTGTTTACTTGCCCCACCTACTCAATCCTACCGTACGATGCGTGTCGTATCCAAGAAGGTCCTCGCCGTGTCAAAGGCTCGCGGCAGTTCCTTCCTACCCAACGAATCCCATCGCTTTCGACGACCAACCTCGGCCTTTATTCGGAATCCCTCCTGACCTTCACGAACGTCCCTGGATCCCATGCCTGAAAACAATCGTTTTCGGATTTCTCACCCTAGGGAACTGGACTTCTCTTCAAGTCTGCGTGTATGAATGACCTTACACGTGTTGCCGACCTGTGTGGGTTCAGCATTATAGAAGATTCTCAGTGAAGATTATAAAGGCTTCTTACCCGGGATCGGCTGTTCTCGATGCGGGCCAGAATGTGCCACGCGATGTCCTGCGCGAAGCTGAGGATCTTTTCTTTGAATGATTTTACGAATAACAAGCGAACAACTCGAGGTAGACAAAAGTGACCCACGCGCTATCGCCGCGCTCGGAAAGAGATCGACGATCTCTGCCTTCGTTTAGTGATAGATTATAGCGAGCCTTGATTTAGTTCTTCCTACTTCTTTTCGGCTTTTTTGGTTTTGTACCAAGCAAGAATTCGCGAAAAGCTTCGCGAAAAGCTTCGCGAAAAGCTTCGCGAAAAGCTGTACCTCTCTCAAAAATGCTTCAGTCTATTTTAGGGCGTCGGCCGCCCTCAGCGCCGCCGTTGCGCCTTGATGCTGAAAACCCGTTCCAAATTCCTACCTCCTGCCGATCATTGGATTTTGCGGCCATATAATGCACAGTTATGTCATTGATATATTTGTCACCACAACTGCGTCGAGACTGAACGACTTTTTTTGCAACCTATATATTCACCTGGGAATTCCATTGGGATTGTCCTACTGTGATTGCGCATTTTAGGATTGATTCAGCTTCCATCACCGATAACATTATGATAACAACCCTTTTAGGGCACCCACGATATATGCCAAAGCTCCAAGAAGGGAATGGTACGGCGCAGTTTTATAGACAGTGTTAAAGCTTTCCGCCAAAGTCCTCATTTGATATCTGCTGTTCGCAACGAGGAAAACGATCAGTATCATGATTATGGACTGGGTTTCATCGCGAACAGGGTAGTTCGTGGAACAGGACAATGTTTGACGAGGGCACAAAGGACGTTGCAGGGAAGAACTGTGCGCGCGGTCGTTTACCGCCAGATAGAGGAAGAGAACTTCGATATTGCATTCCTCTTGTAAATGTGAATAAAATCCAGATGAGTATCCCCAGTGTCTGCGGATCTGATACGGTATGATCTCGTTCATGATACAGAAACATGTTCTTGATGAACAATAGCCGCATTCCGGATGAATGTTAGGAAAGGAACAAGAAGAGCACGGAAAGACCATCGCTTGCCAGGCGTCACCGTTCACAAGGTAAAACAAGTAGTTATGAATTGTTAGCGGTGTCAGAGCTGTGACCATTATAATGAGAGACAGAAGATGGACAATCGCGTCCAAAACTCAACGCATAAACTGCTCGGAGCAGTCACTGCAGCGGAAAATACCAACATGCTCCGAAGTGGCTCGGCAGGATAAATAGCGGCTTTTGAAGGTCGGAGTAAAGCGAGATGAGCTGAGATGGGGACAATCGTGTTTGGTCGGAACGGAGTTCAAAAAGTCACGTAAGCAAGCATGGATGAATGACGAGGGTCCAGATCTCTCATCCTGCCACAACAACGACGACGATGATTCCCTCTTCAGATTCAAATCCTCGTACGTCCTCCTGCTCTTCTTTCTTTTTATGCCACTGATGTTGACTCCAGTTTCCTCACTAACACCACCGATGGACCTGAGGCATATGACTTCCAACACCGGTCTCGGTCGCCCAGCGAAGCACATTCGCACAGCCGACCATCGACTGGATTCTCGTTCCCCCGACTCCATTCCATCCTCGCCCACCTCTGTGTGTGTCTATTTCCTTTTATTCTTTTTATAACATTTGGATAACGTGGTTTCGCAGACATTCCTCTTCTTCCGCCATCTTCGAACGTGACATCGAACCCATCTCCATTCCATCGCCTTCACACCACCCACGTAACCCCCACCGTGTCCCACGTGCCAAAGGCACAGAAGCTCTAGAGCAATCCGTGCCCTCCGTGCTCGACAGCGCCGCAGCCATCCTCGGTAACCTGCAGGATGTCGACGTAGGGGAGCAGGTCGCCGTAGTTTCCCCGTCGTCTGCGATCGGTCGCGTAAGCAACAGTGGCTTTGCCAGCCCGATTGGGAGTTATCGTAGCCGTAGCCCAAGTCCTCTCGGATCACGAGTTACCTCTCGCGCTGCAGATCTTCTATTCAGCATTCCTACATCTCCGACCTCCGTATTGGGGCTTCAGAATCTGAACATCCCGTCACCGTCACCCCCTCGTGTCGTCCCCGGTGACTACGCGTCCAGTGTGGTTACCTCGGTCGATGCTGAAGAACCGCCTACGACGACACAAGAACATCCACCGCCCAAACCGATTTCACCATCGTACCCACCAATATCCCTGGCGACTTCGCCTATCGCCTCACCGTCTTCTCTACAATCACACCCACCGTCTCCTATCCACGTTGCCAAGAAACGTCTTTCCTTCATGTCCTATTCCGATTTACTTTCATCCACCCCGCAATCCACGCAGACCCTATCATCGCTTACGACATGCGCTTCGTCAACGGAGCCCCCTCCACACATTCCTTCCATCAGTGGTTTGAACATCGCTTCTGCTATGCAGGCGCAGCAGTTCCCTGGGAGTAAAGCGCCGTCCTTGCATCGATTCGCGCTTGGTCCTACGGGTGGGCTTACGCACCCCGGGAAACGCGATAGTATTGCCATGCTTGATAATGTCGGTGGAGAATGGGAGAAGGAGGGTCTGGGGAGGGGGTTGGAGGAAAGGTTGGACGCGTTGGTGATCCCGCCTGCGGTGGATTCGCCTGTGGTCGGTGTGGCTCCTGTTGCGGGGAGGGTGCAGGGGAAGGCTGTTGCATGATATCGAATGAATGAATGAATGAATGGAATTGTATTCGTTTGTATTCCCCCTGTTTTTCTCTGCTTCCCTCTCCTTTTTTTTACTCTCTTTTTTTTCCTTTGGCTGCTCATCGCATTTACTTACTTGATTACCTCCTAATTGTTTTCTTTTTTTTTTACCCATGAAGAACTTACATACATATGCTTCGCCGTTGTGTTTGGACTTTTACTTATTATTAGTGTTCCTCACTGCCGAATTTCATTTCGACTTGAATAATGTGTATTTAATGCTTCTGTTGATATTATTATAATGCTTCTTGTTGATATTATTAATGCTTCCTATTGGTATAATGCTTCCTGATATAATGCGTCCTGTTGGTATAACGCGTCCTGTTGATATTTTATATTTGCCGAGTAGAAAAAATGAATGTGGCCCATGCCCTGTTGTGTGTACTGTGTTTGCTTTAGTACTCCCAAGTGATAATATTTGTGTCGTCTACTAGACAGCCTCTGACGCGGCGGAGCGGACACGCGTGTCGAGGGCGGCATTACGCTTTAAGGTCAATATTTGAACAAGCACTTCATAGCGTTAATGGACCCAGCTATTTTGATCAAGAGGTTGCCTTAATTATAATATATCGCAGGTAACCGATGCGTTGGAAATGTTCCCGAGTAATGAAAAGGTTCTGGTGTTGTTCGAGTAATGAAAAGGTTCTGGTGTTGTTCGAATGCGAGGATATGTATGGAAGAGCGCTGAGATAGCGTCGGTGTAGTAGTCGATCAGTATCGTGGCGATGACCTCTGTGTTCGCGCCTTCTTGGATCAGATGCGCTGGGCCCGGGGTGTCTTCAATCACTACTGGTAATGGGGGAAGGTTGAATCGACATGATGGATATGGGTGAGCGTATGATGCGTACGGCTGTCGAGCGTCGGGAATTTGAGGGTGGGATTTTGAATTCCGAGGGTTGAAGATGGGAGGTGCGAGACGCGGGAGGAATTCGGGGCGGTGTGTTCCCGTTTCTGTGTTCTGCTGCTCCTTCTTGTTGTTCTTGTACTTGAAGTGGTTTTTGGGAGTGGAAGTGGAAGTGTAATTGATGGCACTTCACCGTGAAGTTTGAACTAGCTTGTCAACGCAGCTTGGTATTTGCCGAGTCATAAATTAGAAGGCGTCTTCCTCCGATATTTTTTCTGTCTCACACGTCGCATTCCGTCGAAGGGGTTGAATTTAAGCGCCCATCCGATGAGCGGAATACTTACCCTTACCATACTCTCCGGGTTGCAATGCCCGACTTTGAAATCTCGAATTGAACCTCCGTTTCACGAACGAAGTACTAATGCTAAGAACCAAGCACATGGCTATCCTGAAATTATTCGCAATGGTAAGCTCTTTCGACATTACTTAGGCGATGGCAGGGTTTCGGAACGGATCCGTTCCAACGAATATGGACATAAAAATGGGACCTTTTCATTCGCAAACTGCCATGCGTTAGAAATCCAAGTCCTGTAGCCAGGTTCATACGTGGTTTTCAACAGTGTTGAAAGTCAAATGTGACTCCATAAAGGAAACTCATAATATTAATAACAACCGTGCAGGGATCATGTCAAGCCAACTGTCAGTGTCTACCTGTAACTCCGTAAATGGAAACTGACTTTCAGTCTTCCTCGACCTCACAAATCCCTCGAACCACTTCCGCCGCATGGCGCTATAGTGTAGTGGTTATCACTCGAGATTCTGATGACTGAATAGTTCTTACATGCAAGTTCTCGTAACCCAGGTTCGAGTCCTGGTAGTGCCTTCGCCATTTCGTCGCCGATAATTTTTTTTTGCGTTGTTTTACTGAGTCGTTCTCTCTTTTGTTGACTTCTTTTGTTTCCTCTTTTCGATTGACGATGGGTTGCCTTTTGGAGGATGGATGATCGATTGTTTGGTTTGGGTGATGGGTAGGGTAGCCAAACACCGGGATGGATTGGGGATGAATGACGCTGCCGTCCATCCAGAGCGATCATTTTGTTCCAGCGCCTGGTCGAGCGAGTGCTAGATTCGAATTCCTCGATATGGGTTTAGCGCAGTAGAACTTGACGTGATCTTCTGTTCTTCAGGAGTTTCGTGAGATCATCGGCACGACCGACGATGATGACGAGCTTGACTACTCCGACGAAGACGAAGGTGCTGACGGTTGGATGGAGCTTGAGGAGGGTTGACGCTAGCGTTTGGGGAACAATTAGCGATGTCGGGGGTACGGCCTGTATCGTTCTATGGAATTGATGGCGGAAGCGATGAGATGCACACCATCCAATATCAACGTCCATTCTTCGAAGTAGTGCGACGCTTGCACTCGCAATACTGACCAAGGATCCGGACACCTCTTTTTTTCTGTCGACTATATTTTAATTGCCTCGGATGTCCCTGCACCTTTATCTACATCAGCAACGCGTTCCCCCTCTCTAGAACGAACGCTATCTCTAACGCAAACCCCCCATGTAACACAAATGCCCCCGGGCCCTTTGTCAACACAAACTGCCTCGCTACCACAATTTCCTTCTCTAACACAAACGACCTCTCCAACGGCACGCTCCTACACCAGTATATTAGGTGAGCCTACGACTTCTCGCTTTTAGAATACAATATCCATCGAACTCGAAGGTCAAATTTTCCTCGGATGTCAATACAGCAGGCATTTCTTTGCTCCTTTTCACAACTATGGGTTTCCTCTTCTCTTGAATCCTCTTCTTTTGGACAAAGAGGAACAGTTGCTCGTATGATAGGAACTTGATGTTCACAAATAATTCAAGTCGTACGTGAGTATCTTGAATCGCTTTAGTATAGTCCAGGATGCCCAGTGACAACGCCGGCATAACTCCCTTCCAACAAGACCTTGTCTCAGATGGAATATATCGCTTTAAATTACTACAGAAAAGAGCCTCGATTTCGCTTCATTACTCGCCCACGGCACCGTCCCCCAGTTGGGCACCGGATGGCGCGCTACAGTACTCTCCCTCAAGGATTCCTGCTCCATAGACTGAATCCGCGTTATACTTAGCCCTTTTTCTTTCATATTTTCAGCCTTTAATCTCATGGCCCAGGAGTTTCTGAATCCGGAAGCGCGTCGCCTATTTCTACCTAACTTATGGACATATACATCCCTGACAATAACATGGAACAAGCCGGGGCGCGTGATTATGCGTACTTTCGTCCCTAAATACATGTCTTTGGTGAGTAATTGTAAATGACCTTTGACCTCCCTTTCAAGTTGGAGAACCGAACTGGATATCATGACCGCCTCGGGACTCAAATCCTTTTGGTGTTATTTTTTCTCGCCTCGTGAACTCCTTAAACATGAGCGTCTTGGACGAAGAACTTGAGAACCACATGCATCGCCTGTCCGCGACGGGAGATGACCGCCATACCCTTAATAGAACTGAGTTAAGGCTCAGAGAATTATGCTATTGGGGAGAGTATGTACCTCAGGGTCTTCTTTACAAATCTGGCCCTTTATCGCTGTACTAACTGCGACTCCCTCTACGCTAGAGATCAGGACTATCAGGACCCAACATAGTGACTTATCCATCAAGGATTTTGACAGAAATTTTATTCGACGAGGCACACTATTATACTTACGCGAGGTAAAAACAAGGGTTAAGCCACAATCCGTGTCCTGACAGCCTCATAAATCCATATCGACAAATGAATCCATTCAACTAAAATCCCATGCGTCCACGCAGCAAGGATTGCGGAAGGGTCCTTCCTTTCTATCCATAATCCATCCCATTCAAAGATTAAGTCCACGCCAATGAGCGTCCTCGTTAGCCGTACCCCATACTTCAATATTTCAATGTTGTCACTTCGATGCTCACAACCACATCATTACAAGATAAGCGCCTGGAACGCCCTTTTTCTGATGCGTGTTTTCCATTTCCCCAGGCTGGAACTTACGTTTACTTGTATTAGTAAAATCCCTATCTAAATGAAGCATGGAAACAACCTACAACCCCTCTCACGATTTTTTTCTCCGGTCTTCTAAGGCGCTCCCAGTTAAGTAAGTGGCACCACGACCATGCGGGCGCGGGAAGCGCCTGTTCCGCCACCGCATCACCCGTGACCCAATTTTCGGCCGCACCCGAGTTTTGCTGCGTTGCCGACACATTATTACATATACGTAACCAGGATAAGCCCGGCACAATCCCCCCCCCCTTTGCTTGTAAGTACCTGTAAGTACTCGAGAATCGCCACGCTTTGAGGCTTTTTGTCTGCGCATGATTCCCGGGAGTTCCTGGGACGTAATCGCATTTTGAAGTTGGATGCACTGGCTGGCAGTTAATTCCTAGTCTTGCTCCGGAACGAAATATGGAAGAGCTCGGTGAGCAACCGTCGATATCACCCACTTCCACCGTATCTCTTTTTTCTCGCTCTTCGCAGGGGTTTCCTTGTCTTAACATTTCTAGAGGATCCATATACGACGAATCATTCTCTTTTATTCTATGTACATAAATCCACAATCATATGCCTCAGGCAATTTCCCCCCTGAACTCAGCTGGGCCGTCGGGGTGGCCGGCCAAGAAGCTGCCACAATTTGCGAATGCGTACAGATCGATATCTGATATCATGGCGGCGTGGTGGTCTCCTTTCGACACCCTTAAGTATGTACGCCCCCAATATTATTGTTGCCAGGTACGTTGAAATGTGCTCCAAAGAACAAGAGTATTTTCTTTCTCTCCCAGTGTACTCGCAGTAAGGACCTGCCTGCTGCTGAAAGTTGACGTTCGAAGCTCTGTTGAAGCTCTAACTTAACCCAGCGGGGTGCTTGCATACAGGGAAGTTCACTTGTATTTTGCTGCGACTGCACTACATACTTCGTTGCCGTTGCGTCGTGGACCTCACCTCGGAGCTTACGAAAAAAAACCCCTATCCATATGCGCAATCTACCAATCTACACAGATCTGCACGTACATACATACATACCGGGATTCAAAAAAAGCATAGAGTCCGCATTGATTTCAGGGCCTCCCATGGTGATCCATATCGAACATCGGGTGATCCTCGACCACGCTTTCCCTCTGTCTATTCATCTACTTAAGTAACAACGGTAATTTATGGTATGCACTTAGCAACTGTTCGTTGTAATGTATACTGTAGGCACCGGTACCATCGGAAGTCATCGGAACCGTACTTTATTAGATTTCATTTCCATGGCCAGCGACTTCTGACCATCGCTTTTACTCAGTGTTCACATATCCCGATGCGTATAATTTCCTTTCTGAAATCCTTGCACACGACCTATTCAGGAATTCTTTTCCCTGCGGAACACATCAGAAGCTTAAGGTCCACGGACAACACACAAACACATGGATGTCAATCCGCAACAAAAACGCTTAATAACTTGTGGTCGGTGGTGGTAATACAAACATACTTACATACAATTTGCAACAAATGTGGGGACGATGAAGGAAGAAAAAGATAAGAAACCGAATATGTAGCCCGTAAATCTCTCCTTTTTTTTTTTTTTTCTTTACACTCGATCGCAGAAATGGTATTCCCCAGCTGGCACGTTTTGCATTCGTTTTTGGGCCAACACTGGACAAGGGTAGGATTCCTCGAAGACTTCTTTTGTGGAGCTCATTTCTATCGAGAGAACCTGCTGTTGGATTTTTTTGTTTTTGTTTTGTTTTGAGAAATGAATAATGAACAATCGGGGGAAAGGCGATGAGATCGACGACTCACGTTGAAATTCGTTCCGCGATGCGTGGTCGGCGGGTTGGGTTGAGATCCCAGAGATAATGAGATCGTCTCGCCTCTCAGCTCCTTCCTTGCATTTAGTCTGCCCATGGGATTCAGCTTCGATATCACGCTGCGAACGGGGATGAAACGGAAGCTTACGCGGAGAGTAGACTGTTGCTGTACACTGTATCGTTGTGAGAAACCTTAACTGGGTGTATTGAGAAGAATTAGACTGACGTTTCGCGTAGAATGTGTATACCGCCATCCAGATAACTTTTTTCATGGGTTAGAAAAGGGCGCCCGCTACCGAAGGAGCGTTAAAAAACCTACGCGAATTCGGTTTGACTTGAAACTTTAAACAACGGTTATTACGCTGGAATGCTGTCGACGGGGAATATACAACGCACTGTTATGAGGAGAACAATTGCACCGAGGCTGTTGAGCATCTTGATAAGCTTGTTTGGTAGGGGGAAACGCATTCGCTCGGACTGCATACCTAGTTACGAAGCCGGATCCTGCAAGGATTGGAGCGCATCAGAAATAAAGAGACTTGTGCACTATGAAGCCATACGCACGAATTGTGAAACCGATAAGTCGGTCAATAATTTTCCCTACACTAAAATTAACGATTCATGTTAAAAATGGCGCTCGTCTGATGATCGTAATGAAGGAGGTCTTACCGCTTCATTGACTTTCCTCTCTTCCGTAAGAGATAGTAAATCATCGAGGCGGCGATGATCACGTCCGTTACAACGCTCGCTACGAGCGTACTTGAAATAAGCCAATCGTTCCGTTTGTGATAGACAGTCACATCCGCCAACGTCGTCCCCTCAACCGTGAGATAAACGGTGGCGACAAATTTGACGAAGGATATGAAAATGCAGAAGGGGCCGAGGAATGAGTACGGTTTAGGTAGAAGCCTCCAAAGCCGGGTGGAGAAGAATCCCTGTCGGAACGCAGTTCATAGACCTTGACCAAGACGAGAAACTGTTCAAGCAATACTTACCTGGACCAAGAGACTAATCGCTCCTCCGATGCAGGTAGTAGAGCCAATGCCCACGAATTTCCCGAGAAGCTGGG